AAATAAATAAAAAACCTGATTGTCCCTGAAGTCATATTTGATTTAAACATGTTTCGTCGTATCTGGGGACACGTACGATTCCTTTAATAATAATAATAAAAAAAAAAAAACCCCGATTGTCACGACCCCTCAGCCCGACGTGACCCTGAACATCAGCGGAGCGAACGGCCGCGCGCGACGTCCAGTTATGTCACTAAGCCACAGCGCAAATCCACATCGAATCAAGGTCTAAAGCGACGAAAACACAGCACTGTTCTCACAACGTAAAGGTTTTTAATCGCACAAACCCGACTCTGGTGAGATTAAAGTCACGTTCTAATGTTCCCTGAAGTTGGGTTTTGTTTCAGTCACATGTTTGAGTAAAACTTTATTATTATTATGAGTCTGTTTACATCTGCAAAACTCAAAACACTCTGGTAGTTTTTTTACTTTTAGTTCAATTCCAGAGCTGAAATGATCCAAACGATTCTAGTGTTTTCAGTTTGAGAGAAGAACTCAACCTAAACGTGCAGGATTTGTGTGTGAAACGTGAATGAAACAAAACACAACTGCAGGTCTGAGTTTATATTTGATATTATATGGAATCTGTGCATTATATTTGAAACATTTAGGCTCGTCTACGAAATCCAAATACTAAATCTTACCAAATAAAACAAGATGACAGACGCCCCACAGTCTCACTTCCCCGCGTCACCAACACGTGCACCACAACATCAGTCCCAACTAGAGACGGGCATTCGATTAAACTTTCTTAATCAATCGTCGGGAGAATTAACGAACGATTATTGATTAATCATTAACGTTTTTATATTAAAATGATCATCATTATTATTACTATCTGCACTAATCTGCATAAATAAATTCAACTTTACGACATATAAACATAACGACTCTAGATCCACATCAGCTGTTTGACATTATAATGTGTTTAATTCAGTTTTGTACAACTTTCACAGAAACGAAACTTAAAACCACATCACTAATTTACATAAACTAAGCGAAGAAAAAAAACCAGCTCTTGAGTCGTTGATGTGACATGACTCAGGTGAATACAGGTCAGTGTGACCAGATTTGTGTTTGTCAAAACCAGGACAGCGTACGGGGGGAGGGGGGCGGGGCCTCGTCATCCACATTGAGCGACTCTCACCTGGAAAAACGTTTTCCCGCTGGACACAGAAACATATGTGCTGCTTTATCCACTGTGCACATGGACTCACACTTGTCCCAACGCAACGGAAAGTGTGGAATTTCTTGTACAAATCCTGGTTAAATCCACATTTGTGCTTCGGTTCGTTACAGACTGACCCACTGTTTGTGTCTCGCTCCTTCTGATGCAGAGACACATGTACACACCTGTTTGGTCACGATACACAAACATACATTCAGTTTGTCGATTAAAATGAACGTAATCGATAAAATTCTTAATGACCAATTATCGATTAATCGACTAATCATGTCCATCCCTAGTCCCAACGCTCAATAGACACTTCATGCCGCTGAACCGAACCTCTTCTCCAACCGCGCAACATGCAAACAAACAGCGCCGTGCAACAACGCGGCTACGCAAGTGTGAACACAGGAACCACAGGTAACAGCACCAGAACACGACATGACCCAGAACACGACATGACGTCCCAGCGTGAGTGCGTCTCTAGAACAACAGGCACAGACAGTCACACTGACTGGACGACCCTGAGCAAATCCCACACCTCAGTTAAAAAAAACTAAACTGTTGTGTGCTGTGTGTTATATATGTATACATTATTTATCCGAAACCTGATCAGAACATAACGTCCGAGTCCGGATCGAGTCCACAGTCACGTGATCGGTGCCGATTTCCGATCACGTGATTGGATCAGGACAACCCTACTTTTGTGTCTTAGAAAGTCATTGTTGAACTTCATGACAAGAAACAGGAAGCAGCGAGAAACTCTTTTCTCCTTAGTTCAGTTGACGCCACAGAACATTAATTAATTCATTTTGTTTGTTTTAAATTTATAGATTCATGGTTGAAACTGAATTCACATGCAGCACTGAGCAGCAGAACTTCCAGAACATATAAACCAGAGAGAATAAAATATCAAAATGAAAATAAGCGCCAAGACGTTTTTTTTGATTGGTGTTCGATTGTTAGATTGGATTTGAACCTCACGCTCTCCTGGGGGTCACACAGACCGAAGGAAAAAAAGTATTTTCTCCATTTTTGGGTCTGATTGACTCGCCCCAAGAGAGCGGGAAGGAAAAAAAATTCTTAGGGTCAATGTGACCCAGGAGACCGTGAGGGTTTTAAATACATTTTAAATTAAACATTGGAACAAGAGGTCAAAGTCAGTTTTTTTGTTTGACATTAAAACAGACAAAAGTGAAAAATCCACATCACACTCACCCGGCCGACGTCCAAAATCCTCTTTATTTTTAAATAACGTTTCGGCAAAAAAAACTTCGACAGATATTTTTCTTGCTTTGAACCACAGTGGCCTTTTTTTTTTTTTTTTTTTTT